TCTTTCTTTCTTTCTTTCTTTCTTTCTTTCTTTCTCTCTCTCTCTCTCTCTCTCTTTTGTTGAGATGGAGTCTCACTCTTGTTGCCCAGGCTGAAGTGCAGTGGAGCTATCTTGGCTCACTGTAAGTTCCACATCCTGGGTTCAAGTGATTCTCGTGCCTCAGCCCCCTGAGTACTTGGGATCACAGGCATGCATCACCACGCCCACCTAATTTCTGTATTTTCAGTAGAGATGGGCTTTCACCATGTTGATCAGGCTGGTCTCGAACTCCTGACCTCAAGCGATCCACCTGCCTCACCCTCCCAAAGTGCTGGGATTGATTACAGGTGTGAACCACAGAACCCAGCCTCACCAGCAAGTTTTTAAACTGCTCACGAGAAAGCCCATTCAACCAGTGGTGTGCTGGCAAATGTTTACCAACAGGCTCTTGGAGGAGGGAGCTGAGGCAATTTTGTAGGATTTGACTTGCATGGTATACATGCTCCCAACATGGCCACTATCAAGCTACCAACACCATGTGACCAAATGCAGAGCAGGGAAGAGACTGACGTTGTGGGTTCTTGTGAGCCCATCTGAGCTGGCTCACTCTCCCTGCATGTAAACTTTAAACTCTCCCACGTGTGCATGCACATACACAGACACACAGACACACTCACATCAGCTTTCAGAATCACCACCACATTCTGCTCACATGCCGTCACTACAACAGCACTGATTAGTTGGGACCCTGGAGGAAGGAGCCGGCCGCTCTGGGTGTCCCTGAGCCTCTGGGCTTTGAGTCCCAGTTGGACCTGCCCCAGAGGGTGCTTGGTGGCTCATCCTAGCTCCAAACATGAGCCCTGGGAGAGCCCCTGGGGCGGGTCCAAATGCTCCACATATTGACATTGAGGACATGGCCTCCCCAGCAGTCAAAAAGCACCAAAGTCACAGAGCCCCTCAGTTAGACCTGAATCCCAGAAGGAGGCTGGGGAGCAGCCTGAGACAAAGCGGATGACAGTGTTACACTGGGGTGTTCAGGGCTGCAGACCTGGCCTCAATCTCATTTGATTGCCAGCTTTCATGTTACTTGCCAAAGACCCATCTTAGCATTTTGCATCTTCTTGCCTTCCTTCTCCTCCCAGAGGAGACCCTCAGTGACCACAGGTGAGAACTCAAGGCGCTGAAGGTACGCAAGGGGAAGGCCCACAGCTGTCCTGCTGTGCGGAGCCAGGGTGGTGGTTCAGCAGAACAGAGGGAGCCAGACCTTAAAGCCAGTAGTGGGGGCCCAGCTGCAGCTGCCTCCCGTGCAGGGGTCAAGCTGCCTGTAGGGAGGTCACCAGCCAGCTGACGCCTTTGTGAGGATGTGGAACTTGAGTGGGTAAGGATGTCTGAACTGGTGTCCTCATGGGCTCCCATGTGAATCCAGGGCCCCCAGGGGTGCTCTTGTTGTCCCAAGCCTCACCCCTTCTCTCCTGGTTGCCCTTCCTTCCCCACCACCCACTATAGGTTTTTCATCATCAAAGAGAGCTTTCTGCTTTACTACTCTGAGAGCGAAAAAAAGAGCTTTGAAACCAATAAATACTTCAATATACATCCTAAGGTAAGGCAGTCCCTCCTGGGGCCACAGCAGGGGAGGGCCCAGTGTGGGCATCAGGGCTTGGATGTTGTGAGGGGCGGGGACTATCTGCTCTCTTGCTCTGGTCTAGCAGAGTCTGGAAAGCAAATCCTCTGGGGGCAAAAGACCCCCTGCCCCTGTCCTGGGCTGGACCCCCACCCTCCTGTGCCCCAGCCCCTGCCCCAGCCCTTCCTCCTCTCTGAAAGGCAGTTATGGCCTCTGTCCCATGGCCCCAGGGTCTAGCTTCCATCCTGGGGCAGTTGGCAGGACCTGGCTTTGTCCAGGGACCCCCAGAACCCCTGAGTGACTAAACTGGGTGGGGTGGGAGCTGCCTGTTCTGGTTCTTCCTCAGGGCGTCATCCCTTTGGGGGGCTGCCTGGTGGAGGCCAGAGAAGAGCCCAGCATGCCCTATGCCATGAAGATCTCCCACCAGGACTTCCATGTGAGTAGAGCTCTTCTCTCAGCCTGGGCTCTACAGGAGCAGACCAGCCTCTCAGGCCTCTTTGGGACAAACCCTCCCCTGCCAAGGCCTGGCCTGGGAGATGGGCCTCAGCAACCAGAGATGTGGGGTGGGTGGTGACAGGGCAGAGGTGGGCCTCTATCACCCTCAGCGTGGCTGCCTCCCAGGCACGCCCATGGCTCCTCTTCCTGGCAGGGGAACATCTTGCTTGCTGCTGAGTCCGAGTTTGAGCAGATCCAGTGGCTGGAGATGCTGCAGGAGTCTGGGAAGGTGTAAGTCCTCACAGCCAGGAGGGTGACCTGTGGGTCCAGGAAGGGGTGGGCAGGGCTGCCCCTGAACTCCCTGCCTCTCTGTTGGGACCATGGTGGGCACAGGGCCAGGGCTGTGGGAGAGGGCTAGGGTAGGTGAGAGGAGACAGGCCAGGTTTTAGCGCATCTGCGAAGGGTCCCCTGAGTAAGCTTGGAAAGTATCTAGAGTTACAGGTGGCAGGGGTGGGCACTCCTTGTCTCTACTCTTGGGAAGCGTATTTGATGCCTCCTGACACCCATCTCACCTCCCTAGGCCCATAATTAACTCTAGCAAGGACCAGAGCTGGTGTGTTGTAAATTGGGGTCAAGATCACGGAAACCCCCAGTCAACCCAGTCCATTTGTACATAAACCACTGCCCTGGCACCTGCCTGGTCAGGCTAGGTCATACTTTCAGTTCAACAAACAACGCTGACCGTCTGCTCTGTGGCAGGCCTTGCCCTGGGTGGTAGACATTCAGTGATGTAAAAAGCCACCCGGGAAGCAATCTCTTCCCTGCTCTAAAAGTGCTGTTGGCCCAGCCCACAGTGGCCCACTTTGCAGCCTGGGCCAGCCTCCAGCTATTGTAACTGATTCTTGCTGGTGGCATGCCCAGAGCCATGGGTGCCAGAGTGAACGCAAGCTGAGATTCTGGAGGAGAAAGGGTGGGCAAGTATAAGACGTATGTCTTCTTTCCCCTCCACCCTTCGGCTTTAATGATTTTCTGTTTCTTCCTCTTCTCTCCTCTTTCCCATCTGCCCTCCATCCCCAGGACCTGGAAGAATGCCCAGCTGGGAGAAGCCATGATCAAAAGCCTGGAGGCCCAGGGGCTGCAGTTAGCTAAGGAAAAGCAGGAGTATTTAGGTTGGCTGGAGGAGTGGTTCCCTAATGGTAGCACTTGGGGACCAGGGGCTATGGCAAGGGGCTTGGTAGAGGGCCCAGCAGGGGTGATGATCTCTCAGGTGGGGCTATGAGGGGACAGAGACCAGTTTAGCACCTGAAGGGCTTCCTGGTGCAGTTTGCCTCCTTTTGGCCAGCATGACCGAAGGCAGGAGTGTCTGGTGGTTAAGTGCCTGGCCTCTGGATCCAGCTTCATCACTTGTCACCTGTCTATCAGCTATGTATATCTGCAGGCAGCTCAGCCTCTCTAAGCCTCAATTTCCTCATTCTTAAAATTGAGTTAAAAATAGTCCCTAGCTTTTAGAGGATTGGGCTAAATGAGAAAATGTCTGTAAGTGCTTGTGCCGGACATGCAGTAAGGGCTCCATAAGTGGAGCTGATGTTGTTATCCTGTCCTGGGTCCCCAGGGTTTGGCTTGTCCCCAGCACCCCTGCTCCAGACCATTTTAAATCTTGCCATGGAGTTCCAGGCCCCTGTGCCCTTGACTGGTTGGTAAATATGCACTGTTTGAGAGAAGATGATGAAACTGAGGTTTTGCCCTCAGCCTGGGACCCTCTCCCCTCTGCCTGCTTAGGCCCTTGGGGCCCCAGCACTGGCTCCCCTATACCTGCTTCAGAACCTCCCTGGCCCCAGGACTCTGCCCTCCCTGCTAGCCAGGCATTAGAGCAGGTAGAAGGTGGGTGTGGGACTAGCCCAGATGCAGCTGCCCTGGGGATGCAGAGATCGCTTTGAACTTCCAAAGATAAGGCCCCTCATAATCCTATGAATGGAAAAAGCAGGATGATGATGGGGAAGGAGGGTGGCAGCTTCCGTCACCACGAGCTGGCCCACCCTCTGGCTGGCAGGGCTGCAGGACCCTTCCTTGGGAGATGCTGGGGGTGACAGTGACCACCTCAGGCACCAACTCCCTCAGGACCTTAGAGCACTTTTGTGAATGTGTGTGTGCTTGTTTTGGCAGACAAACTGATGGAAGAGACGGAAGAACTCTGCCTTCAGAGGGAGCAGAGAGAGGTAGGCTCACACCAAGGGGCCCTCAGCAGCTGTGGTGTGATGACTCGGGTTTCTGGCATTAGGGAATGATGCAGGGGAGCTCAGTGCACAGAGGACTTGCTGGAAGATCAGACAGGGAAGAGCGAGGAGGCCGAGTGGGATCACAGTGCTTGCTTGGGACTGATTGTATCTTGTTGGTAAAAAGCGTCTTTCTCCTTACCAACCCCTGGGAGTGAAGTGAAAAGGATGGGTGATCACCTTCTCGAGAGAGAGCCATCCAAAATGTCATCGGCTGCATCAGTAGGTAATGAACCGTTTGTCAATGATGTTCACAGGGGGCCATAATGCCCTCTGTTTTCCAGAGAGGGGCATCTGGCCCCTGAGGGTTATTGGACTTGATGACCTCAGAAGTTCATTCTCTGAATGTCAAAAGTCCAGAGCAGGCTAAGCACTGGTTTGAGGCAGCCAGGAGGGTAAAGGAAACTCTTGCCTTGTCTGAAGGTGGGGAGCCACCAAAGCCATCTTCTTCATTTAGAATCTCAGTGCAAGCCAGGCACAGTGGCTCACACCTGTAATCTCAGCACTTTGAGAGGCCAAGATGGGCAGGTCACCTGAGGTTAGGAGTTCAAGACCAGCCTGGCCAAAAATGATGAAACCCCATCTCTACCAAAAATACAAAATGAAGCCAGGCATGGTGGCCCATACCTGTAATCCCAGATACTCAGGAGGCTGAGGCAGGAGAATAACTTGAACCCAGGAGGCAGAGGTTGCAGTGAGCCGAGATCACACCATTGCACACTCCAGCCTGGGTGACAGAGACTCCTCAAAAAAAAAAGCACTGGGCTTTGCCTGTTCTGAGGAGTCATTACCACATCTGAAAGGCAGGGGGCGATAGTGGGTAGCACTGTGGATTTTGGAGCCAGGCTGCCTGTATTTGCATTTGACCTTGACTACTTCTAGCTTTGTGACCTCAGGCAAGTTATTGAACTTTTCTAAATATTCTTATCTCAAAAATGCGGATGATAATAGAATCCATCTTAGGGATGTTGTGAGGATTTAGTGAGATGTTATATATAAAGTGCTTGGCACATAGTACATGCTTAATGAATATCTATGTTTGCTGGCATTATTATCATATTATTAATATAGGCCACCCTGCAAGTGAACAGTCTGAGGCCTGAAGCGGCAGAATGGCTTGACCAGAGCCGCCTGCAGAGGGAGGGCCTGATTTAGTCCACTGCTCTTTGCCTAGTCACTTGTCCTTGTCCTCTCCCAGGCAAGTCACAGGGCTCGGGCTATCAGCCTTGGCTCAGACCCTCTAACTTGACTCTTAGGAAGTCCTCACCTTTCCCAGTCACATCCCTGGGCTCTGAAACAGGCATCAAAAAATAGCATATCCCCTTTGCACCCCAAACATTCTCAGGGCCTGGCACAGCTCCTGGCCCAAGATGAGTTCTTAATAGATGTTTGTGGAATGAATCAGGAAATGAATGGGATTGATTTTTGCAACTTTACATCTTGATTTTAATCCAACAGGACAATCTGACCTCAGTTTTCTTCTTCTAAAATTGTATTGGTTATTCTTGCTCATTTATGCTTCCCGCTGGACTTCAAAATCATTTTGTTGATTTAAGAGAAAAAAAAAAAGACTGGGGATTTGTATTTGGATGACATGGATTTGAGGACTGGCATCATGGTGGCACCGAGTCTTCTTCTACCACCCAGAGTTGGGCCTCTGTGTCTGCAGGCTTTCCTCTAGGTCCTATGTCAGGGTTTTGGCACTTTCTTCATATAATTCTATACATTTTAAGTGAGGTTTTGGTATTGTCAGCAAATTAAAAACAGGTGCCTAGGGATGGGATGGAGTGGCAGACACAGCCACTGGTAGGGAGAGAGACAGACTTATCCATCAGAGAGGCTAAATCTGGGGCAGCAGTTGGCTGGAGGAAAATTTAGACACTCTATCTAGGTCTTTAGCCAGGAAATTAGGACAGCGGAGACCCGCTGCACACAGGGCTCCCTTAATGCCACAGCACAATGAAGGGGGGAGGACTGTCAGCTGTGAACTCCCTGGCTTTCTGGTATAAAATGTGAATGAGATTCAGGCCCAGCTGGTACCCACCATGAAGGCTGTTCTGGGCAGGAAGAGAACTCTGCCTCAAATGAGAACTTAGTTCTCATTTTTTGTCAGCTGCATGCTCTAGATCTGGAATAGAGCTCAGGTTCTACTCTTTGCCACTGAGTTATTCGGTCAAAGTTTCTCCTTCCTTAACTTTCTCATGCATAGGATGGGTCCACCTGTCTCCTGCAGAATTCTCCTGGTAGAATTCATCAGTGAGCCCATCTGGGCTTGGTGCTTTTTGTTTTGGAAAGTTATTAATTATTGATTCAATTTATTTAATAAATATAAGCCTATTCAAATTGTCTATTTCTTCTTGTATAAGTTTTGATAGATTGTGTCTTTCAAGGAGTTGGTCCATTTCATCTGAGTTATCAAATTTGTTGGAGTTATTCACCATAGTCCTTTATTATCCTTTTAATGTCTGTGGTAGCTGTTATGTCCCCTCTTCCCTGATTTCATTTCTGATATTAACAATTTATGTCTTCTATCTTTTTACTTAGCCTGACTAGAGTCTTATGAATTTGATTTATATTTTCAAAGAACTGGCTTTTGATCTTATTGATTTTCTCTGTTGATTTCCTGTTTTCAGTTTCATTGATTTTGCTCTTTTATTTCTTTTTTTTTCTTACCTTTGATTTAATTTTTTCTCTTTTTTTTTCTAATTTCCTAATGTGGAAGCTTAGATTTTTGATTTTAGATATTTCTTATTTTCTAATATGTTAATTTGATGTTATACATTTCTCTCAAAGCACTGCTTTTGTTACTTCAACAAATTTTGGTGGGTTATATTTTTACTTTCATTTAGTTCAAAATGTTTTTAGATTTCTCTTGATATTTCTTCTTTGACACATCTGTTATTTAGAAATAACAGATGTTTTTTAATCTTCACGTATTTTGTGGATTTTTCCAGCTAACTTTCTGTTGTTGATTTCTAGCACAATTCCACTGTGGTTTAGGGGCAGACAATATATGATTTCTATTCTTCCATATTTGTTTTCTGGGCACAGTGGCACATGCCTGTGCTCTCGGCACTTTGGGAAACCACGGCAGGAGGATTGCCGAGGCCAGGAGTTTGTGGCAAGCATGAACAACACAGCAAGGCCCAGTTTCTACCAAAAAGAGAGAGAGAGAGAGAGAAAAAGAAAAAAAATTCACCAGGCATATGTAGTCCTAGGTACTCAGGAGACTGAGGCAGGATGATCACTTGAACCCAGGAGTTGCAGTGAGCTATGATTGTACCACTGCACTTCAGCCTGGGTGACAGAGCAAGACCTTGTCTCTAAAAAAATTAAAGATTAAAAAATAAATTTAAAAATGTGTTAAGGTGTGTTTTATGGCCCAGAAAGTGGTCTATTTTGGCGGATGTTCCAAATGAGCTTGAAAATTATGTAGAATCTGCTGTTTTTGGGTGAAATAATCCATACATCTCTTAGTCTTGATCTGCCATAGCAAAACGCCATAGACTGAGTGGCTTAAACAATAGAAATTTATTTCTCACAGTTCTGTAGACCAGAAATTCCTAGATCAAGGGCCAACAAGGCAGGCTTCTTTCTGAGGCTTCTATTGGCTTGTAGGCAGCTGCCATCTCACTGTGTGTTCAAATACCCTCTTCTTGAGCATGCATGGAGAGAGAGAAAGAGCAAGCTCTCTGATGTCTTTTCTCATAAGAGCACTAATCCCATCATGAGGGTCTCATCCCTATGATTTCACCTAACACTAATTATCTCATGAAGACCCTATATCCAAATACTGCCACACTGAGGGCTAGGGCTTCAATGTAGGAATTTTGAGGGAATGCCAAAATTCAGTTCATACAGGTGTCAGTTACATCTAGTTGATTAATGGGACTGTTGAATTCAACTACGTCCTTACTGTTTTTTCTCCCCTCTAGATCTGTTGGTTTCTGATAGACAAGTGTCAATGTTTCCATCTATAATGGTGGATTCATCTATTTCTTCCTTGCAGTTCTATCAGGACTTTGCTTCATGTATTTTGTTGCTCTGTTGTTCGGCATACGCACATTACAAATTGTTATGTATTCTGGGAGTATTGACCCTTTTATCATTATGTGATGCTCCCCTTAATCCCTAACAACTCTCCTTGCTCTGAAGTCTGCTCTGTCTGAAATTAGCACAGCTACTTTTGCTTTCTTTTGATTAGTATTACCATGATATATCTTTCTCCATCCCTTTTAGTCTACATCTGTCTTTATATTCAGAGTGGGTTTCTTGCAGGCAGTATATAGCTGGGTCTTGGTTTTTGGTCCACTCTGACAATCTCAGTCTTTTAATTAGTGTATTTAGACCATTGACATTTAAAGTGACTATTGATATAGTTGCATTAGTATTTACCATATTTGTTACTGTTTTTCATTTGTTGTCCTTATTCTTTGTTCTTATTTTTGTCCTCCACATATGTGTGTGGGGTTTGTTTTGTTTTGTTTTGTTTTTTGTTTTGTTTTGAGATAGGGTCTTGCTTCCTTGCTCAGACTGGAGTCCAGTGGCACAGTCATGGTCCACTGCAGCTTTGACCTTCCAAGTTCAAAAATCCTCCTGCCTCAGCCTTCATGAGTAGCTGGGACTACAGGCATGCACTACCATGCCTGGCTAATTAATTAATTAATTAATTTGTGTGTGTGTAGAGACTACATCTCACTGTGTTGCCCAGGCTGTCCTCAAACTCTTGGGCTCAAGCAATTTTCCCACCTTGGCCTCCCAAAGTGCTAGGATTACACGTGTGAGCCATCATGCCTGGCCTTCTGTGTTACTTTCTTTTTAATTTTTAAAATCTTTTTAAAAATCACATTTATTAGAATCCTGAGTGAAAATGATATTTTTTATTTTTTAAGAAATAAAGACAGGGTCTTGCTATATTGCCAATGCTGGTCTCAAACTCACGG